AAGGCGCTGGGCGGCCGGAGGTGAACTTCTAGAGGCGATCCCGCTGGCGGCGAGGCATGAAGAACGCAAAAGGTCCAACAGCTGCAATCTAATACTTATTTTTCTCATCGCATCTCCAGGGGCAAAACCGGAGAGGAAGCAGCTCGTAGTATTTTAAAGACTTCCCTTAGGAAACGTGGCCGGCAGCTCCCAAAAGCTAGGCAGGCGGCGAGGTAAGGCCTGCAGCGGAGGACGGCCGAGCGCAGCACTGGCAGAGGCTCTCCCGCTTTCCTTACAGGTATGCTACAGTTTTACAAAAGCAAGGCGTTACGGACAACCGAGCTGGGATGGTTTGCTCAGATTTGCCAAAATGGCTCGTCTTAAAGGTGTAACTCAGGACAAAAAAAATCTAGCGTCTCTGTGCTAAAGCTGCTAGCCAGGCACGTCGCCCTCAAACATCTATACAGACGCTTAGGAGACCTCATTTTATGTGGGAAAACTCTTTGTTACAGTGGGAATTTCTGTTTGAACCTAACAGTGTTGCTAGATCTTTGGGTATGTGGTATCTTTAATCAAAAGCCAAGTTTCTGGAGTAACCTAATGAGGTGAAGAACTTAGCTCACATTTTAAAAGAAAAATAAGTTTCTTGCCTTCATAGTTGAGGAGCAACACTTAAAAGGCTTAACGAACCAGCTCAGTTCCCCAGAGCCTCAGAACCCAGAATACAAAAATAAAATGTTGTCATTATACAACCCATTGATTTAAAAGCTAAATTCTACTCTTTGGGGATGATGGGCAGAGCCTTGATTTTTGGCAGGATTATAGGTTACAGTCTCTGAAAAGTGAACACAAAGCTGCTGTTTTGTAATCCTTACTCAAGTACCATTCCATAGCCTAGCTGTCCTTCAGAGTCACACTACAGACTATACCAGATCTTGATAAACCAACCTTTTGTGCAGTGTAGCATAAAAGAACACTATTGAATACAATTTCCATACCACGTAATCAGAGGGAGGAAAAAGATTGCCGGCATATCTATTCAGTTACATTGCTGTAAAGTGAAAGTTAATAACGGCTTGCTAGCTTTCCATGAAATATATTTAAACTACTTTTTAGCATAAGCAAAATGTATTCCTTCCTAATGATCAATAAAAGCTGCGTATTTCAGCTTTTCCCCTATTGAAAAAGGGCAGATTTATTTCTGTACATCTAGTGTTAAAATAGATCAGACTAGTAATAGTTATAATTCAAGTGATGATTTTGGGTATGTCTTGTATTGCCTCTGTTACTTCACCTTGCAAACTTGTACAGAAGAAAGGCAACCTCCAGGAATACATGATGCTGTAATGCCACAATATTTAGAGCAACTGAAAAGCATTTCTCTAAAATCACTTTGCACCTTTACAAGATATCAACTCATCTTTTTCCTCTGCCAGTAAAATACTGTTTCCAACATTTACTAGCCTATCAAGTCTGATGTTGCAAGAAGAAAAATTTGCACCACTTTACCTTGGCAACTCTTCTTGATTTCTTTGCTGGATGTGGAATCAGGGATGCTTGCATTTGGTCACAAGCTGAATGTTGTTGTCTCGCACAAGAGCAGGATACCCAAGGTTGGTGCGGCAGGGCCTCCTGCTGAGTTTCTGCAGAAGCAGGAGCTATCAGCTTTCAGCGCAGCCAGTTTGATTCTGGTCTCCTTGTGAGCTATGCTTCCCTGCCACCTCCAGCTGCTGCAGAGGAAGGCCACTTTGTGCCATTCAGCTTTACTCAGCAGGCGTCCAGGGAGAGGTCACCTCAGTGCAAGGCACCAGTATTTGAAGCAGCCTGTTGGCCAGCACATATAGGAGCCCTGCTCACTGCTTGTCTGAAAATGCTGGGGTGGCATGCTGCCACGTATACTGCCCTGCATGGACGGACACATACCAGTCTGTGCCAAAACACAGGTTCTCCCTTACCCCAAGATTCACCAGACAGTATGGAATGCATACTTTTTGTTCACGTGACAGATGCACTTACAAGAAAGAATGGAGCACATTAAGTCCCAAATGTCTCCAAAAGAAACAAGCCAAGTAAAAGACCAGCCCCACATCTAGTCAGACCTCTTGTACTTCATAGGCCATTATATTTCACCAGTTCCCTTCTGCTCAGTATTGTGTATTTAACTAAAGCTTATCTCTCAAAGTCATCCAGCCTGGATCCGAAGTTACAAGATCAGAGGATTCACTACTTAGCAGTCTGTTCCAGTGGTTGCTCGCTGACAATAATAACAAAATATGTACTTAACACTCCAGTTTGAACCTGTCTGACTTTAGCTTTCAATCAGTGGCTCTTTTTATGTCCTTCCCTGCTGGACCAAAACCTCTTTTAGTATTTAACATTCTAATCAAGTCACCACTTAATTGTCTTTTTGATAAACTAAGCAGATAAAGGTCTTGCAAGTTCATCATGCATGGCATTTTCCTCCACTCTTCAAACATGTATTTTATATTTTTTTCTAGGCCTCTCAAAACATGTCAGTACACATCTAAGGATCACAATATCCTTTTTTTTTTTTTTTTTTTGCCATTGCAAACAGAATTCTTGACTGTGCGCAGGATCAGTGAATAGAAGCAAGGTGATTTTTCCTCCATATGCTGCCTTGGTAGGAGAGAGCTAGGCAAGAATTCTAATTAAAATTGTGGTGTGCGAATGTATATTAAAGTAGTGGTTTGTGAAACTGCAGTAAGGTGTGGTTCAGCGATCCTTCCCTAGATCCAGGATTTAATCTCTGTGTTTTCAGTTTAGGTTATTCTCACATTTCCTTGCAAGATACATCCAAGCCTTCCAGCTTTCATACAGTTTGCACTTAAAGAAAACTGGTAATTTCTGGAGTAAGTACAACACTGGCTAATGAATTCACGGTCCATTGTTTTTTGATAAGAAGTTAAATACTTCTTTTTTGGACTGGATATATATTGTTGGATATATAGAATTTAGGAGAGTCATCTCTTACCTGTAAACACTGAGTATTTATAAGTTACGATGGGACAAATAAAATCCTCAAACCTACAAGACCGAGAAAATCATAATCTTTGCTCTCTTAGTCCATCACAGGCTTCAGGCAGTGCATTGTATCGTCTGACTCCCTGGCAACAAGAAAATCAGTCATCCTGACTCAGTCAGCGATTCATGAACGCTGAAAAAGTTCCAAAGCCCAATGACGGGCAGCAGTACTTTGCCCTGGAGGGAGGAGGATCTGGTCAGTACTGCCGTATTGTTAGCAGCAGACTCTGATGATCCTCCTCCCTTGACAGATCTCTCTGGCTTTCTGGCATCCTATTTGAAACTCAAATGGTGATAGCAAAGGCTGATACAGATAGGATGAAATTAAGAGATTCCTCAGAGCCCGCGCTGTGATTGTATCACAGGCTGTTTTATTCTTATCTTCTTCCACTGAAGCTGCCAAGTCAACTTCAATAAGTCATTCATGGCATTAAAATATTCAATTGACCCTAAGTGCTCTTCATCTGCACTGCAACTGAATACTAAAAGCTGCAAAGGCTACTGTTCATATGCTGCTGTACTAATATTTAACAAATACCGTTCCTGAACACAGTTTTTTTCATTACCAAGAAGTTCAAAACATTCTAAAGGACTTAAGGCCCATAAAGCTGACTTATAGCCTGCTGGTCTGGTGAAAAGATTATAAGCAGCTTAGACTGACCAATACTGCATGATCGATGCCTTAGTCATTCCCCACAGACATCTTTGAAACACACAGTAGTCAGGCGAATCCTGAAGATGCCCACTTGGAGCACATCAGTATATCCAGCTAATATTTATGGCCAAACCTCCCAATTCCTGTATGAGTTCACAGAGAAGCTGTCCAAAGGCCACCTACAACTGCATCTCTCTAAAGCTAATATTCTCAGCTCAGCCCAAATTTAGGACAAGTCATGGAGTTTTAGTGACAACAACACAGTGTCAACAGTTTTAGTGACAGAGCTGAATTGATCTCCTCCTCTCAGTGGGTAGGAGTCTGTTCCCATTCTCCAGAGTTGCCTCATGCTTAAACTTTTGACTGTGGGATCCTCCTGCCTTACCTGCATGAGTTGGTGGGAATGCAGGATAATGCACTGAGAGCTCTGAAGGGGAGTCATCTGTTCCATAGTAATGGGGCCTCGTTCCTGCAGTGCTGGACCTTTCACTTACGGGGTCCCCCATTAATCGGTGGACTGGCATCTGATGATACACACTCAAGTGCCAGCAATGTGGAGGTGATGCACAAAGTGATAGATTCGTACAGTAACTTGGGAGTATTTTTGGATGCATTGTTGACACTAAGTTCTCACATACCAGTCTGAGTAATGCTTTTTTTATCATCTCCAGGTGACTTCTTATCATGTATGATGTATGATGACTTGACTGTAGTTATTCATGCCTTCGTTGCCTCTCAGTTAAGTACAGTAGTGTGATGCAGCTGGGAAGGATGCTCATAGCACTTCAGAAATTCCAGCTAGTGTAAAGGATATTGCAGAATGTCACCTCAGCCACACTGGTAACTGTCCTGGACTCTCCTCTGGTTGCCTGTAAAACATGAAATTAAGTGCAGGGTCCTTACCTTCCTATTGCCGTGAGCCCAGCTCTGAGCTAAAAGGCTGAGCTAAAAAGCTCCGAGCTAAAAGGCTGCCCAAAGCTTTAGGATGAGGAGTATTGCTGACACCTTCCTTACTGCAGGTCAGTGGAAGGATGGTACAGGTTTCTGGTCAGAAAGTAGAACTGTCTCAGGATCAAATCTGAGGATATGGAGTGAACCAAGAAGTAAAGTCCAATAAATATGTCACCACTTACTGCCCCATGTGAAGTGTACATTTCCTGGGCTTTGCTCTCTGTGCTATAGAAGATATAGTACATATGAAAGAAGAAAGGAGAAAAAAAACGCACTTGCTAAAATAGGACACTCTATTGCATCCCTTTTTTTCCTCTGAGGAGACTATGAGAGAAAAAAATAACCTGGCAGCTGTTAGTCATTTTGCTTAATGCACTCAGATACCTTGGCAATAAATGTGGTAGGAGAGCCTGTATAGAATAGAATAAATGGCTTCAGTGAGATACTGTCAAAACAGTAAGAAGATATGTGTCCTATTAAAATAGAAAGGGAGTAAAAGGAAATGTGTTTTTTGAATGAAGATGGCTGGTATTAGCAGTGCTAAAAATAAGGGGAAGTAGAGTACAGCCCCTACTTCACTGCCAAAAACAAAATAGGAAATTTTGCTGTCTCTAAGGTGACATTACTTCTGAGTTTGGGATTTTTTTTTC